CCTCCCCCTGCCTCTTGTGATCTCACTACCTCTCCTTCACCTATCAAGTGTTTTATGTTCTAAACAGTTCACTGCAGAAAGTTGAAGAACTGATCTAGAAGTGAAATAAATGGGCAACAGCTTTGCCGTTTGTTTGTAACAATCATGTGCCTTAGGAATTGGGTATGAGAATGACCGGTGAAAACATTTGCCAGGGTCCGCAAGCAGCTAGAACGCATCTAATTCTAACTACAGGTTTCACACTCAAAGGGAAGTGTCAGAGAAAATAGTTATGGAACAGAAGTAATTAGAGAGTACACTTCAACTTCTATTAAAATCAATTTCTTCTTTATATCATACAACACTTAGAACATGGCTTTTCTACAAACCTCCATTAGCAACTGTATGGTTTTTATTTCAAAATTAAGCAAAGATCTGTACCAAATTAAAGGATCAGATCAGAATACAAAATCGTCCTGCGTGATTGTAACATCAAACTATTGCCTTTTGCTGGCAGATAATCCCAAGATCAGAAGTGGAAGCGTAAAGTGCAGTTAGGTAGAGAAATGAGTTTGAGTAGCTCAAATTCTCAGAGCCTCAGCTTCTTTTCTGTAAAATAAGGGAATTGAGTAAGTAGGTGACTTTTGATAATTTTTCCCCCAGCCTTCACTGTTTATATTATTTTTGCTCTCATAGAACTCCTACTTTAGTGGGAGACACAGACACGAAAACATGTAATTATAAAGACTAAAACAGAAAATATATAATGCTTTGGAAGTAAGTAAACACAATCTAGATTTAAAGAGTCAGGGACTACTTCAATTTTGAAATGCTTTTTCTTTTAAAAATTGTAATGCTACTCAACTAAGAATCAAATGCCTCAGTTCTAAGATGTTGGAAGGAATTGAATTTAATGTAATAATAATAATTGGTGTATATTGCTCCTGGAACAGCACTCCTGGGGAAAGTTTTAATAGTCTATCTACGGAATGATGTAATGATATATAATCTGAAAACTGCCTGGTGGGGAAATGTTAACAGCAAACTATACTGTTAGAATGTCATATGCAGTACTGTAACTCACTCGGTTCTCTTTGGTTTGTGGTGGTTTGTTTTGTCATGTTGCATTGTGGTTACACAACTACTATGATAAGGAACTTTATCTTCTTCTTGACGTGGACGTACTGATAACTTTTAACTAGAATAGTGTTTGTCTTTTATATAACTACTCAATGCATGTATACTTCTTCCTAGGAGCTAAATAAATCATCTATTAACTTAATATTTCTGTTAATTTAGTATTTTTGGTTTTTTTTTCCTAGTCAAAATCAGAGTGGAAGTGGAGGTAAGCCCCAAGTCTTCTATGAGCATTTATGTGTTTCTTTACAACTTTTCAATGCATTTCTTCAAAGCTTCAACATCTTTGAGAATATTAATTACAAAATTCTGGGGCTGGGGAGATAGCTCAGTAGAATAAGTGCTTCCCTGGCAAGCACAAGGGTCTGAGTTCAATCCCTGGTTCCACCAAAAAAAAAAAAAAAAAAAAAAAGTTTTAGTTGCCTCATAACGACAGAGATCTTGATGAAGAGAATAAGCATTGACCTGGGACTCAATGACCTGGATCCCATCCTGGTCCCCAAGTAGATTCAAGAAAGTCATTCCTTTCCTCCAAGTTTGTTGTGGATCTAGGGTGATCCTGCTTACAGTGTGCTCAGGGCAGGCTGGGTTTATGCCAGCTGTTCAAACACAATTAATAATAGTTATCTGCCTTCACTTCCAGAAATAGTTTCCTTAGGAGACGATTTGTATGGTCTCCTGGACTATGCCTCCTAAAAACCCCTGAATCCCACAGCACCAAAATAAGGAATTTAAAACCTGTTAGGGTTCCAATGCTTACACTAAAAGCTAACTTCCATACATCTTCCTGTTCATAGAGGGTACTCGATAAGCACTTGTTAACTAGTTGTCAAGTAGCAAAGTTCCTGAAGACTGTAGCATAATAAGCGAAGGGGTTTAAATTTAAAACAGATTCATTATAATGTCACCTTTAACTTTTTTGTTTGTTTCAGTCATCACCAATGTTTCAAGATTCTCCTTTCATTACATTTGATTACCTTTACTGATATCTTTAATTTCTAAATACTGGGGATTAAACTCAGAGCCCTTGAACTGAGTTACAGCCCTGCTGTTCTTACTTTCTGTTTTGAGACAGGGTCTCTTGGTAAGTCAGCAAGTGGGCAAGGTGGGGCTCAAGCCTCTTGCGATCCTTCTGCCTTGGCCTCGCAGCAGCTGGGACTCTGGTTGTGCTCCACAAACCTCATTAGTCACTTCATCTCAGTTACTATTTTTTAATGATCACTATTAACTCAGTTTTTCTTCTCACCTCTTTCTTCACTTCCCTTCCTCCCCAGTAAATATCAAACCCACTCACTTTATGTTTTCTCATGCTTATACTTGCCCATTCTCTTCATCTCAAACCCAAAGTGCTGCTCATTATGCTTCATCTCTTTATTGTAACCAGGCCTTATAAGTTCCATTTTACCTATTACCCATGTGAAAGGGAGAAATTGAAGGACATTTTCATTTAAGTGGTTAATAAAAAGAGGGATGTTTCCTGCAGTAAAATCAATTTGTTATTAAAGTCTGAGTGACCTCTATGTGATTAAATGATAAAATTAATATACTATTTTTCTGTACAATCTAACAGAAGGAGCGTTCCCACTTCCACCAGATGACATTTATGATGGGATAGAGGAGGAAGATGGTGGCGATTGGTAAGAATAATCAGTGAATTCCCTTGTTGGGAAATATCGTGTCTCTGTGGAAGTTGAGCTTTGATTTCCAGTTAGGATAGAAAGCAGAAAATCATGCTCTTTATTGCAGTCCCAACATGATTTGAATGTTAACGGCAACCATACGTCAAAGAAATGGTAGGTTATTTGGAAGAACCCCAATAACTCACAAAAGAAATGAAATGAAAAGGATAAAGTACCAGCACTGCAGATATTTTCCAAGGCTCTTCTAATTGTTTATTTATCAACCAATAATTTACGGTTATTTACAGTCAGAACTGAAGTAAGGTTGCTATCTGTGAAAGACTCCTACTAAATACTTAATTTTAGTTTAGGAATGTATTTTTATTTTTAATAATAATTTATAAAAATGATCATTTTTAGGTTAATAATAAAATAAATTTTCTTATTTCTATTTTGAAATGGTATATTTAAAATCTTAAATCTACTGATCACTTAATTTTAATCATGATGCTAAATTAACTGTCACTTTCTTAGCTCCATATTTTAGGAATCAGGAAAAATCTCACTAAATAGGAAAAAAAATGGCTAACATAGTAGGAAGCATTCAGACACAGTGGTCTCTAAGCTTAATAACACTCTTTTGTTGAAAACAATGAGTTATTTACTGTCCCATGATCAATATAGTACAATAATCAAAAAGCTGAATGTCCACACAATGTCTTCACGTTCTGATTATTACATTCTGATCAATGCCTGCATGCTCAAAAGTTCCGCGCCACAGGTTGAAGAGAAGAGTAGCACGTGGTCCTGGGGAATTTTGAAGAAGTTAAAGGGAAAAGATGACAAAAAGAAAAGTGTACGAGAGAAACGTAAAGTCTCTGAGTCAGACAATAATGAAGGTTCATCGTAAGAGTCGACCAACCAAACTCAGTACAAATAACAACACTAATGTTAACTGAATTGAATGCTACTAATATTCTGTAACCAATAATCAGATCCTCATAGATTTAAACCCTCTAACTGTTGTGTTCCATTAATCATCTTAGACTCACATATAGTACCATCCTTCAACTCACTCATCAAATAATAAGAGGAGCCCATGTATTCAAGGACCTTCATATAACTGAAAACGTATTTTACTTTTCTCACAAACATCCAGGAAACACAAGCCATACCCAGGTACATGCATCCCTCACACGTTCACTTCACACACCTTCAGGCTCTCCATTTAGTAGCACTTTTTTAATGGCAGCATCTCATCCAAAAGCTTACAATTCCAGTTCCAAGTCCAATGTTACAAATAGTAAAATCGGTACTACTTTTACTAACTACTCTTAAAATATATTCTCTATTGAACAAATAATTTGCCAGAAATAAAGTTCACAATTTGGAATTTCTTTTCTCTATAGAATTTATGATCTTGGTCTTTTACATAACTCTGTCCCACAATAGTCACTTGAAGTTTTACTTGTTTACTCTATACTAAAGTTATCCTATGTATATATCTTAAGTTTGTCTAAATAGTAACCATTTCCTTGATAAAACTATAGCCTACATGAACTGCAAACATATACAAATAAAATTTAGAAATTATTTTAAAATTTGTCCAAATAAAAACTAAAGCACATTTTTTTTCTTTCCATTCCTAAAATAACCCTTTAGTATACATATGGATTTCAAGGATCCTAATCATTTCCTGGAGCAGAAAAATAATTCTGTTTTATATGCACCTAATGTAGTAACCACCATTAGCCAAAGTATGCAAGCTGTTAATTCTCATAGAATTCCTAATTTTAAGCCCAAAATTATTTCATGAAGGCAAAAACACAAAAACCATCAATAAATAACATACTTGAATCTTTAAGCAAATGTAACAAGAAATCTTTGAGCAATATTACTCAAATGTTGGGCTGGTGAGATGGCTCAGTGGTCTAAAGCACCTACTTAGAACAAGTTTAGCAAAACACATGGACCACGGTTCAATCCCCCAGCACCACAGGCCAGCCAGCCCCGCCCCCTGGTGGGCTGAGCTGGCCACACACACACACAAATAAACAAATAAATAAATAATAATCAAAAAAAGTTTAAAAAAATATTACTCAAATGTAATCTTTATTTAGAAATAAGTTTTTTCTACTTCAATTACATATCTTCCACTTCTGATTTTCATTCAAATTAGTTTTCCTTCCAATCATTCATTTGAATTAGTGATCCATTACACTCTAGCTATTTCTGTCCTATGCACTGTTCTTTCAAAGATATGTATGTGTTTGTGTATACATATATATTTAGAGGTCACCATTCAAAATTAATAAATGCAAAAGTCATTTTATGTTGCACCTAAATGCCACCTAATCCTGACTTCAGATCACTCCTACTAATAAGCTGTCACTACATAGTTCAAGGGAATGTTCCTTTCTTACTCACCATTCTCCTGCTTGGGGGTACAGTGTATATGTGGGGAGATAGAGCCATGTTCCTAGTGACTCTGTAGATCTGGACTCTGCATTTTATTCTTCAATTTAAATAAACAGTTTTGAGCCTCAGGTAGGAATGCCATAAGGACGCCAAAACACTGAGTCCATTTAATTTACTTAGGTGCATTGTATGTTCACACCTCAGAACAAATCTGAAAACATGGTCTAATGGCTGAGGGAACAATAAGGCAACTGGGTGTCTTGGCTTTTGATTTGTTTGGCCAACACTAGGGTTCAAAAACTCCTAAATTAATGGACAGAAGCCAGGACCTGTGGAGACAATGGAGAATGAGAAAGGAACAATGGTCAATAGACTAATTAATATTTTTAAAGCCTCTAGGCTATAGTCCACATATACCTCTCCTCTATGAGGAAATTAATGTATGGGTTCACATTAGTCTGATTTTAATTGCGTTCTCATTTTCTTTCCAGTTTCCCTTCTCCTCCTAAACAATTGGGTAAGTAATAAAAGCTATTGATGTATTTTATATCTTTGTTTTTTTTAGATGGAATAGTAGGAAGCAATGAATATTATTGCAGTATTTGTAAAGTCTTGAGTCTGAAAATAGTAAATATTGTCACCTTGAGCAGGTAACTTCGACCTAGACGGCCACATTGCTAACCTTAATCTCACAGTGGGATGAGAAAAATAAAGCGAGTTGATTACCTTACAACTATTCTGCCAGAATCTGCTACAGAGTTATGGATAAAAGGAATGGGACACATACTGACATTCCCCTTGTCCCCTGCCTGTTGGCCCCTGATATGTAGGACCCTGGCAAAAGTATCTAAAAGCATATCAGATTATGTGCTTTTGAAGTCCTTCCATATTTACTTTTTATTTTTAAAGTTGTATAATTTACATTGTATTGGGACATTTTAAAATGTAATATAGTTTCTTTTTTATATAATTCCATCAGTTTCTTCATCCCTGTTGAGACACATCTTTGAAAAGTTTTTTAAATTCTGCCTGAACAAAATAATATGTCATTTCCAAAAAAAAACAGAGGCTTTTAAAGGGCTTATAAATATATTAAAAGAGTAAGCCAACAGAGAGATAATCTATCCTTTCAGACTATATCTGACATTAGAAGTTTCTTTGCAGCTATAAATTTTCAAAAATTAAAACTAATTCAATATCTATAGTAAGCTTATAACTTAATCTGTAATATTAACAAGATTGTGGGCTGGCGAGATAGCTCAGCAGATTAAATGCCTGCTTAGGCAAGCAGAGGGATCGAGGTTAAATCCCTAGCATCAC